GTTGCTCCATAAACATACTTATCTACGTTCATGTTATCATAGTGGGTTATAGATCTACTCAGGCTTCTAACTGCATTCCTATAATCATTTTCATTATTTACTTCTCTAATATTATTCCTAATGCTAGACACAGTTATACCAAAGTTATATTCTACATTCTCCTTCTGGGTACTCTTTTTGGCTAACATATCAACTTTATCATGAAGGAGTAATCCAATGTGTGATGGGATCCATAGCAATTGTACATTAATTCCTTTGTCCCTAATTTTTGAGTATCTATACCTGGCTTCTCCAATGAGCATGTTGTTGGAGTCATTATATGATTCAAGAGCCTTCAATGATGACATAGAATCAGTAATGATGATAGAGTCAAGCTCAGTGTCATAGGTTAGCTTTAGCGCCATTAGGATTGCAAACAATTCAGTTTGCAGTGTAGACGCCCAGTTGTTAATTCTTATGCCTAACTCAAATTTATTATCGTTCTTAACTAGGGAGGTGGCAACAAGAGCAGATGCAGCCCTGCCAGAAGACTCCTGTTTAGATCCATCAGTGTATATAACTTGACAACTTATTACTACCAGCTAGGCGAGAAATTTCTTCTTGAGCAGTTGCTCTAACAAGAGATTTAAGGAAGGGATTACTAGCAATGAGCTTCTTGGGAGGGACTTGTAGGTATGTGATATTAAATGAACACATCTTCCATGGAGGGGTGAAATGCTCTTGTTGCCTACAGTGATACAGTTCATGTAGGTTATAAAACAATGCAATTGCACGTTTTCACAATCCATTTAGATCGTGTATTTACCTCTAGACACTTGGTAAGATTCAGTGACAGTGTCTGGTTCGTTTCTCAACATTCTAATACCGAGTACAGTGTTAATTTCAACAATCCTATCACTGATACTAGAAATACCAAGCTCCTTCCTCATGTTAAGAACTTTTGTAGATCTGGGACAGCCAAGAATAATCCTGAGAGCTTCATTTTGCATTAACTCCAAGGGTCGGAGAGAACTTTCTCTAGCTAATATCAACATGGGAGCAGCATAATCAATTAAGGACCTAACAGACTATGTACATCATTCTCACGATTCTCACATTAGCACCATAGTTGGGATTGTAGCCAGCAACAGCTTTGAGAGCATTTAGCCTAGCTTTGCATTTCTTGTTTAGTTGTGGTATAGTGGATTTGTTAAAGGGTACATCTACACCAAGATATCTAAGTTTTAACATAGCTAATGATTTCGCCCTGCAAATAGATGGGTGGGGAATGTCGTTTGCTTGTTAATATTTGTTTTAGAGGAAGATATGAGGCCTAGTCGATTACAAATTGCTTGAACTTCATTAAGAATGGTATTCATCATCTTATGCCCTGTTGTATGGATCATGATATCAGCATAGCTTATAGCTATGTTTAGGCGAGGCAGGTAGAGCATTTAGGAGAGCATTAATCAGAATATTAAATAGCATGGGACTAAGAACTCCTCCCTGCGGTGTACCTAAAGACATTTCTTTAGAATCACTTCTGAAGCCTTGGTAAAGGACAGAGGATACTCTATTTGACAGGTATCCTATTATCCAGCAGAATAAGCTACCACCCATATTCATTTTGGCTAGTTCATGTAGTATAACTGTTCTGTTCGCAATATCAAATGCAGATTTTAGATCAAGAAAAGTGGTAAAACTAGTAGAGGTGTGTGCAGAGAAAGGTGGAAATACAGTTCTGCACACTGACCTTTCATGAACCCACAGAGGTAGGGGGAAAGTTGGTGTCTGATTCTGTAGTACAGTCTGTTAAGCATCATTCTTTCAAAAGTTTTACAAAGATAACTAGCTAAGGAGATCGGCCTAAATGTATCAGGCTGTTGGGGCTTAGGGATAGGCACAACGAGACTATTGGTCCAGGAAGAACGCCCTCAATGTAACTGAGATTATACAGTGCCAACAAAGGGTTATCAGGCACGTGCCTTAGAGTTCCTAGAATATCATAGGTTATACCATCCTCTCCAGGAGCAGTTGATCGACCTTTGGTTAATGCATTATCCAATTCATACTCGGTAAAGAGGCAATCACTCATCAGTATTTTGGCTCAAAATTAATCAGTTTCAACATTTCTTCAGAAGTACTAGAAATTTTTTCTAATATGAGATGGAAGGTTTTCATGCCTGGATGTTTTGGACCAGTCATTTATGAGGTCATTTGCTTTTTCAAGAGGAAAGGGATGAGCAACATTGCCAGTCTTTTTCCTGGTTATTTTATTTATACCTTTCCAAGCCAAACTCAAAGGGGTGGACCTATTTAATCCACTAACAAACTGTTCCCATTCCTGTTGCCTTAGTTCTTCCTTTCTATTCCTTGCATTTGTTAGTGCAGCTTGGAACGTTCTGAGCAGGTCTGGGGTTCTACATTCACGGTATGCTTTACCAATCCTCCTAGCTGCACGTGTTAGATTGCGTATTATAATAAAGGGGGAAGCGCTAAACCCGGAGAATTATACAGCGCCTGGGGGGGGGATGTGGAAGGCATTCAGGCTTAATTCGGGGAACTGGAGCACAGATCCAATTCCCTAAATCAAGAGCCCCTCACCAACATCAAGGAACCTTCCTTGAGGGGGTTAGATTGCGTAGCTGTGGATTATTCTAGTATTTAAATTTGTTTTTATTATTTAGTGGAGGGTCTTTGTTTCCTATTCCTGCCCACTTGATCTGTGAGAACACTCAATAGTGGCAATTAAATCATTAAATTTTTTGTGCCAATGGGCTCGTAATTCTTATAACATTGATCCAAGTGGTTACTAAAGTTGTCTGTTCTAGTTTGAGAATAAATTTCCTCCTGTATTTAGCTCCTTGATTGCTGGAGATGTGATCAAGATTGACAGTTGTTAGTCTTAGGAAGTGATCAGATAGAAGATCAACTATGACAGTCATGCATCGTATATGATGTATTAAATCCAAGACAGATCTAGTATGCCACCATATATGTGAGTAGGCTCAGTAGTGCCCACAATTCGAACATTATCATGCTCATTTAGCAATTTCACTAGTTTAGTTCCATTGGGGTTTGTCATAGACCCACCAATATTCTTATGTCTGGCATTAAAATCTCCAAGAATGATGGTAGGTTCACTACTGATGCGATCTGGTAAAGCATCAGGTCGAAGCTGGTTCGCTGGGGCATAGATTAAAAATGTTTATGGAAAAATCGCCTGCATATACTTTGACACCATGATACTGTATGTTAACTCGACTCTGCAAGGAAAGGAGTGAATGTGGCAAGTTCTTTCTGACATACATCACACAACTGTTGGTCGAGCTTAGGTTATAAGCTGCATATCCAGGCAAGTTTGGTTATACGAAACAAGTTGTGAAAGCTTAAACCGTGAACCAAAGTAATTAATTTTTCAGCAACAGTCTAGAAACCAAAGTTAATACAGCCAGAGTTTCTGGCTGGAAATTTCATGTAATAATTACAAGTGGAACGGAATTTTTCCATAAGCCATGCGTGTCTGAAGAGGCTACTAAAATGCCGGGAGCAAGGGGTTAGTAACGCCTTCTGTATACATTAGACTTAGTTTCTCTTTTGGGCCAGCCCACGTCGGTGGGATACGGCTGGTACGTTGAAAGACATTTCAGAACCAATTAATATTTATGGTCTAGTTTGGAAATAATGATCATGGGGAGCGTTAAACCCGTAGGGATTAGACAGCGCCTGGGGGGAATTGAAGGTATTCAGGCTCAATTCTTGGAACTGCAGCACAGATGTAGTCGTGGATCAAGAGACTTGCACCAGCGTTAAGGAACTTCTCTGGCGGGGCGCGAGGGACAGTGACCCCACTATTAGTAAAGATACCACCTGTCTCCCAGGTGGAGCTACACCAATAAGAGTAGTCTTAGATGTGCCAGGGTTACTTGGGCATTACGTGAAGTGTCAGTTTACGAGTGTGATTCACCCACAATGTCTTAGTACGAAAGTTAAAAGCATTTTAAGAGTTCTCAGCAGGATTGTAGGCACTAAGAGCGTTAAACCTGTAGCAATGTTACAGCGCCAAGGAAGGGGACAGTAGGTTCAGTTCCTGAAGATGTAATTAAGTGTGTGTGTGTGTGGGGGGGGGGGGGGGTGAAAGCGCTTGCCTCATTAACCCTTACTGTCCAAACGTAGTTATAAGTTTTTTTTTTTCAACACTTCAAAGTAAAAAAGTAGATCTTTCCTTTTTTACATTTAAAAAAAAAAAAGGAAAAACTTAAGATTTGTTATTTGAAAGTAAGAAAAAAAAACTGAGCATTACGCATGTGAACGTAGAGCTGTTTCGACTTAAGGGTTAAGTCAAGTCCAGCTCAACGAATATATCTCATCGACACCATGCCTAACCCTTCTAGGGTAGGGTAGGTGCCTGAGCCCGAGCCTTTAGCTCATAAGACTGTCATTCCCATTTGCTCCCTTGGGGCGGGGATGGCAGACCAGAGGCCTAGCTTGTGGCTAGGCCTGGGGACAGTTGGTCCCAAAGATGAGGTACTTGTGCCTCCTCCCATGGGAGACTTAGGTCTCAGACACTCCCTAAAGAGGGAGCCAAGGCCGGGCCACCACTTGGAAAAGGCCCGGGCCGGGAAAATACCAGTTTATCTTTAATAATAAATATATTATCTGATACTTCGGTTTAACAAGCAAGCCGCACAGAGGAGACTTTTTGAAGCAGGTCAGACCGGGGAAAAAAAAAGCCACCCACCGGTCCCCTATATGCGGGTTATTTTGGTAACCTTCCCTCCCCGCTCACGGTATTTATCATTTTTTTTTTTTGGCAAGACTTTAAACCCGTGTGGGAATTTAAGGCATAATTCAGGTAATGGATCGAATTACTTCCTACATCAAGAACCCATCACCAACATTAAGGAATGTACCTGGGAGAGGGGGGGGGGGGTAGACAAAACTAGGTGGGTCAACACTAGTTAAATTAGTTGCTTAACTTGGCATTATTCTAGTTTAGTGAATTTTATTAATGAAAAGCCTTTAAACCATACCTTTTATTGATATCACAGTATTTTAAGAGTATGCGAATAAAGACCATTATCGCTTGTATATTAGTAGGCTATTGTACAGTGCACCAAGTATAATTTAACTAAAATTAAAACATTTAAAAACCTAGTTTGTCAATTAAAAATCATACCCCTAAAAAATTTTTAGGGGCATCAGAAGTTTCCACCGCCGTCGTCGTCTTGCCCAGTAGCGTGTGTGCAGGAAGTGGCTCTCCAGCGACTAGGCTCATGATAAAAGTAAAAGTTATTTAGTCAGTTGAAGTTTGGAACAATCAAACCCCAAGACTGCAGAGTCCTTCAGCTTCACGTACCTGGGAATAGATAAAATGAACATACTTCAGTGAGCAAGGTAAAGATGTACATAATTTGTACAGCTTAGGACAATGTTTTGGTGCGACTGATTGTTTATCAAGTTCATTTAACTGGTTTAAGTAGTCTTAAGTGTTAATGAAAATTTATCTGCATAATGGTGTAAAAGTCAGAATCACTGCAACAAGAGACGCAGAATTATGAAGTTAACTCACGTGCTTCCAGGAACTTTGCAACAAGCACGGACGCACAACAGTATAAGCAGGAGTACAACCACAAGCAACATCAGCGTACAGATCATGCTAATTATATTAAACACTGACCCTGGAGCTTCGTGTAGGGGATAATAAATATCCCTTTCAAGGGAATGATTCGCGTGTAGAGGAGATGGAGAACCGTGTAACTCCATAACAGGAGTTGTTGTAGTAAAAGAATTCCCATAACTTAACGTATAGTTTGGCGATGGTATCCTGAACATACCGAGGAATATCGCAAAAACCATCATCGCCAATAGTGAAAGGAAATTAAACTGAATTCCACTTCCAATGCAGCAAGAGAACACGCGATTAAAGCAGCTGGGACTTGACTAGCCTCCAACCACTCGAGCTGACGTGATAACACCTTTGGTTCATGACGTTCTGAAACAAATGATCCTTGAAACAGTTTCAGGCTCGGGGTTTAAAGCCTATCGACTACACTAGGGTAATTAAGGCTGCACGTCACCTTTCTACAGCCAGATAAAAATACTTTTAATTCCTAAAATAGGGATTTAGGTAATCCCTCAGTATACATAAGCTGAGAAATAGGCTTCTCAATGTATATATCGTGTGTTTGTGTAAAACTGATGAGAAAGATATCCCCGTATTCTATTACCTCAGCCTCCTCTACCTCAATGCATTCTATAAGAAAATTGTTAGAGGGGTCATAAAATTGCAGTGCAGTGGAATATGCATTTGTGTGCGTATATATGCATGCATATTTGTGTATTTACATATGTAAAATTTTGGTTTGTGTGAGTAGTGAGCAGATTTATAAGTTTTCGCATGTGTGTTATATATATATATATATATATATATATATATATATATATATATATATATATATATATATATATATATATATATATATATATATATATATATATATATATATATATATATAATATATATATATATTGCGAGTACATGTACTCATACACACGCGCGAGGCCAGGAGCTATGACTCGACCCCTGCAACCACAGTTAGGTGAGCACACACACACACACACACACACACACACACACGTGCTGGACACAGTGCGCACAACCGAGGAAGAAGTGAAGAGGCTTCTGAGTGAGCTAGATACCTCAAAGGCAATGGGGCCAGATAACATCTCCCCATGGGTATTGAGAGAGGGAGCAGAGGCACTATGTGTACCCCTAACAACAATATTCAATACATCTATCGAAACAGGGAGATTGCCTGAGGCATGGAAGACAGCAAATGTAGTCCCAATCTTTAAAAAAGGAGACAGACATGAAGCACTAAACTACAGACCAGTGTCACTGACATGTATAGTATGCAAAGTCATGGAGAAGATTATCAGGAGAAGAGTGGTGGAACACCTAGAAAGGAATGATCTCATTAACAGCAGCCAACATGGTTTCAGGAATGGGAAATCCTGTGTCACAAACCTACTGGAGTTCTATGACATGGTGACAGCAGTAAGACAAGAGAGAGGGATGGGCGGATTGCATTTTCTTGGACTGCAAGAAGGCATTTGACACAGTTCCACACAAGAGATTAGTGCAAAAACTGGAGGACCAAGCAGGGATAACAGGGAAGGCACTACAATGGATCAGGGAACGCTTATCAGGAAGACAGCAGCGAGTCATGGTACGTGGCGAGGTGTCAGAGTGGGTACCTGTGGCCAGCAGGGTCCCGCAGGGGTCAGTCCTAGGACCAATGCTGTTTCTGGTATTTGTGAACGACATGACGGAAGGACGGCAATATAAACACAAAGGCAATATAAACACAAATGCAGTATAATGTGATCCTTTATTGACTACGTTTCGCCCACACAGTGGGCTTTTTCAAGTCACAAACAGAACTACCTGGGGTGGAAGGAACGCGAGTATTTATAGTCCGGCTGAGGTCAGGTGAAGAATGCTGCATCTGATGATGTACCGAGTTGGGTTGTAGAGTCTAAAAACTTGGGTAGCTTGGAAAGGAGACTGGACAAGTTTGTGAGCAGACCTTCTACAGTGTTCTTATGTGGGATAGCGATGAAGAAGTTTCTTGGCAAGTGGTTCAGCTATGTTATAGAAGCCACTATTCTGTTTGAAGTTGTCGGATATAGAAATAAGTGATGATTCCAGGATTCTTCGGTATTGGGTGTTGTCTTCTGTGGCGATAAGTCTTGAGTTTCTGTAGTTTTATCAAGTGGTTGTGTGAATTACGGTGTTGTACGCAGGCATTCCTTGTGTCGTCAGACCTGCTTGCGTATTGGTGTTCTGAAATACTGTTTGGAGGTCCCTTGATGTTTCGCCCACGTATAACTTGTTGCAGTCATTACAAGGGATTATGTATACCCCTGCAGAGGATGGAGGCTTGTCCTGCCTACTACTGGTGATGTCCTTGATGGTCGTGGTTGTGGAGGTAGATACTTGGAATGATGTTTTGGCAAAGATGTTGGAAACATGTTTGGCAATGGAGTTGGTGGGAAGGACTATGTATCTCTTCTCGGCAGTGTCTTCTCTGGGTGTGTTGAAGATGTTTAGTGCTCGCCGTCTGCAGTCTCTGATGAAGTGACGGAAGGAATAGACTCCGAAGTGTCCCTGTTTGCAGATGACGTGAAGTTGATGAGAAGAATTCATTCGATCGAAGACCAGGCAGAACTACAAAGGGATCTGGACAGGCTGCAAACCTAGTCCAGCAATTGGCTCCTGGAGTTCAACACCACCAAGTGCAAAGTCATGAAGATTGGGGAAGGGCAAAGAAGACCGCAGACGGAGTACAGTCTAGGGGGCCAGAGACTACAAACCTCACTCAGGGAAAAAGATCTTGGGGTGAGTATAACACCAGGCACATCTCATGAAGCGCACATCAACCAAATAACTGCTGCAGCATATGGGCGCCTAGCAAACCTCAGAACAGCATTCCGACATCTCAATAAGAAATCGTTCAGGACCCTGTACACCGTGTACGTTAGGCCCATATTGGAGTATGCGGCACCAGTTTGGAACCCACACCTAGCCAAGCACGTAAAGAAACTAGAGAAAGTGCAAAGGTTTGCAACAAGACTAGTCCCAGAGCTAAGAGGTATGTCCTACGAGGAGAGGTTAAGGGAAATCAACCTGACGACACTGGAGGACAGGAGAGATAGGGGGGACATGATAACGACATACAAAATACTGAGAGGAATTGACAAGGTGGACAAAGAAAAGATGTTCCAGAGATTGGACACAGCAACAAGAGGACACAGTTGGAAGTTGAAGACACAGATGAATCACAGGGATGTTAGGAAATATTTCTTCAGCCACAGAGTAGTCAGTAAGTGGAATAGTTTGGGAAGCGATGTAGTGGAGGCAGGATCCATACATAGCTTTAAGCAGATGTATGATAAAGCTCACGGTTCAGGGAGAGTGACCTAGTAGCGACCAGTGAAGAGGCGGGGCCAGGAGCTCGGACTCGACCCCCGCAACCTCAACTAGGTGAGTACAACTAGGTGAGTACACACACACACACACACACACACACACACACACACCAGTGAACTGAATGTACTTACGGACACGAGAAAGGACACATTGGACACGGCAGAACATGGACAAGCGTAAGGGACCATTACTTCCTCTATTTCCTCACTTTCTTCCTCCCACTTCTCCTTCCCCACTTTTCTTCCCCCTCCCGCTTCATCTCCCCCACTTTTCCCCTCCCACTTTATCTCCTCCACTTCTTCCACTTCCTCCCTGAAGTTGAAATCGAGGGAACAGCGAATTAAGAGGAAGTTTTAATGTGTGTTAATGGAGGTGTTTTTTTTTTTTGCATAAGACATTGTTGAAGGTGAGGAGTGATGTCTCTCTCTCTCTCCCCTCTCTCTCTTCTCTCTCTCTCTCTCTCTCCCCCTCTTCTCTCTCTCTCTCTCTTCTCTCTCTCTCTCTCTCTCTCTCTCTCTTCTCTCTCTCCTGTATCGCACACGGAATGAGAAATTCCTCTCTTCTATTCTCATTAAGAAGAGTGATGGGAGAGACCTGACTTTCTACTCACTACACACCCCACACAACACACACACACACACCACACACACACCACACACACACACCACACACACACACACACACACACACACACACACACACACTCACACACAAGCAGGAGTGTACGTGTTTATACTCACTGAGTTGTGTTTGCAGGGGATCGAGATTTAGCTCCTGGCCCCTCCTCTCAGTCCATTTTGGCACCACTAATTTCTGGTATCGCTCGCCTTATCTGATCTTGAAGCTGTGTATTGTATTTGCTTCATCCACTTTCCATCCATCCTAAGACTAAAGAAAGGCTTCCTGACATCCCTGTCTCATCTGTCTTCATATATATCCCCTTGATCCTGGTCTTCTTGACTGTGTCCCTTTTATTTGGCCCTCTTAATTATTATTGTTATTATTGTTATTACTTTTATTACTTTTATTAAACAGTTTGTCCCTTCTACTTTAATAATTTCTCTTTAATGTTTTGTATGTAGTAATCATGTCTCACTTGTCCATCTCTCCAGCTTCTTCAACCTCTCCTCGTTGTGTTTTCTCTCAGTTCTGGTACTAGCTTGATTGTAAACCTTTGTACCTTTTCGAGTTTCTTCACGTGCTTGACCAGGTGTAGGCTCCATGTTGGGGCTGCACACTCAGTGACTGGCCTAACATATGTCGAGTGCCTGAATGCTATTCCGAGGTTTGCTAATTTTGCATATGCTACTGGTTTGCGTATTACTGGTGACATATTTGATGTTATTTTCACCCCCAGGTCCTTTTCACTCCTTATATGATGTACTGTATCCGATATGTTGTAATATCCAAGTCACCGGACCTTGCATTTGCCTGGGTTGAACTCGAACGGGCCACTTGTTTGACCACATCTGTTGTGCGTTGAGGTCTCTCTGTAGTTCATCACTGTCCTCTCCTGTTCGTGTTCATGTTATTAGTTGTGCATCGTCAGCAAAGAATGACACATAGACCTCGGCCTCCTCTGGCAGGGGCGTTCATGTATATTAGTAACAATAACGGTCTTAGTACTGACCCTTCTGGAACTCCACTCATATTCCCCTCCCATTCTTACTATTACTGTCTACTTCCTGTCATTGAGGTACTCTCTGATCCACCGAAACACTGAATTTTTAAACCCTGCCTGTGTGTGTACTCACCTAATTGTGGTGTGCAGGGGTCGAGACTCAGCTCCTGGCCCCGCTTCTTCACTGGTCGCTTACCAGGTGACCTCTCCCCCTGCTCCATGAGCTTTATCATACCTCGTCTTAAAAACTAGTATGATTTCTCCTCTGCCCACTACCACTGCTAACTGTTCCACTTCCTGACAACTCTGTGCTGAAAAAATACTTCCTAACATCCCTTTGACTCATCTGAGTCTTCAACTTCCAATTGTGACCCTTTGTTTCTGTGTCCCC